AGAGGTCGACTTGATACTCACTAGGGTCAAGATAATATAATATAATTGTGCTATTCTAAGCATGAAAGTCACCAATATTCAACAAGTTATAACAAAGAGCAGTAATCATATTCTTGTCCTTACTTCAGTTTCTATTTTACATTTCCAATTTCTAAGCAAGTAGGCATGTCATGTTCAAGTATCAGCATATCTATACATATCATATGCAATCACACCGAGGTCGACAGCCCGCTCCAAAAGAATTAAAAATGTGCACTGCCGAGAGTCGAATGGCACGAACCATAGATGCATCTATTCTCACCGAGGCGATCGGCCCGATCCACAAATATCAAGAAAACATCAAGAATGCACACGAAGGTTCATACACATACCAGGAAGCTCTTACCAAGGCTTAACAAGTTCATATGTTCACTTCATATTTCCTTTAAGTCTGTAGCATTTCATGAATAATCATAGTGGTAATTTAAATAAGAGATACTTCCAAATTAGGCATGATGTGGGTCCTAAACTACCCATACAATTAATATCATAGTAGCTACGCACGGGATCTCGTCACCTAGTACGTACGTAGCCCCCGCATTTAGTAAAAATTATTCAGTTATTACACCTATGGGGACAATTCCCTCTTACAATGTTAGAAAGGAGACTCACCTCTCTCCAAAGCGCGCTTCCAATATCAAGAACAAGCCCAAGCTCTTAATTCGGAGCCGAACGATCGCAAACTAGTTAAAATAGGTAAGAGCTAGTCAATAAAGGCTTAAAAGGCCGAATTCTAACTGTTTAAGTAATTTCCCAACCTTTCCCACAAGTTTCCTAAATTCCGACCCCGGGCCCACGCGCCCGGATTCCGATATTTTTCGAAAGAAATTGTTCTCTACAACCTAAGGATCAATAATATATGATTTCTAGTCCATTTCATAGCAAATTTCATGCTTAAATCTTAGTTTTGCTAAAACCCTAGGTCTAGCTCTACCCCTTGATTTTTATCAAATTTTAGTGTTTAATCTACCTAATGTTCATGTAATTTAACTTATAATGGAGGGAGATTACTTACCTTGCAATAATATGTTGAAACCCTCTCTTTGGAACCACCAAAATCGCCCAAGTGAGGAGTAAGGTATGGGGAAATGACTTTGAACTCGGATTAAATGCATTCACTGCCTTCTAGCGATTTTCGCTTCTGCGGTTAGAGGACCGCATCTGCGGTCCCGCACCTGCGGAAGTGGGCGAGGGAGGGTTGGACCGCTTCTGCGGTCTGAGGCCCGCACATGCGGAACCGCTCCTGCGGTTACCTGGCCGCTTCTGCGGCTTGGGCCTTGAATAGCTGGACCGCATTTGCGGTCTGGGGATCGCATAGGCGGGACCGCTTCTGCGGTCCCTAGGCCGCTTATGCGACTTTCCCTGGGCCTGCTCCTTTTCGTATCTGCGGTCCCGCTTCTGCAGTTATGACAGAAGTAGCAACCTCCAGCCCTTTCTAAGTTTTCTACTTCGCTCGAACCTCGTTTGTTTGACGCTCGGGGCTCCCGAGCTCCGCCCGAACATATCGACAAGTCTGAAATCACGAGGCGGACCTACTCGAACCCTCGGAACTCCCAAAACAACGCTAAATCTTAGAATCACCCCCTAAAACCAAATGAATCAAACTATTGAATCCTTAAGTTCTTAATTCTCCTCAAACTGGTCAAAACACCCTTAAACTACTCGGATTGAAACCAAATTTTACGGGCAAGTCTTAAATGACATTACGGACCTGTACCAAGCTTCGGAACCAAAATCCAAGCCCGATACCTAGGGAATCAATGATTTCTTAGTTTCTTAAATTCTTTAAAGCTTCAATTAAACAATTTCGGGTAAAAATTCATTACTCGAGTTAGGGACCTCGGAATTCGATTCCGGGCATACGCCCAGGTCCCATATTTTCCTACGGACCCTCAGAAATTGCCAAATCATGAATCCGGGCCCGTTTTCCCAAAATGTTGACCGAAGTCAAACTTGGTCTTTTTAAGAAATCCTAAAGAAGCAAATGGGCATATTTTTACTCAAAACCCTTCCAATCCCCGAACCAATCGCCCTCACAAGTCGTAAATTAGTTAAAGCAAGTACGGGAGGTTTTATTTAGGGGAACGCGGTTCTAAAAGGCAAAACGACCGATCGGGTCGTTACAATTTTTGAGTTTTGTTATTTATTGCCTTGAAGGGGTAAGGCACAAGGAAAATCTCCGGAGATGGTATTATTTTTTATGTCACTGGAGACTTCTGAGGTGATATAGTTTTTATGTCATTTTGAGGATTATGTCTTTCTAAGAGGTGTAGCTCTATTCACCTTGATTAGAAAGATAATATGCTTAGCACACATATTTGATCCATTTAAATAGAAAATCTAGCATACGTGATTATTGATAGAATTCATACCTTGAAATAATATGATGTCTGCTATATTCATAATAATATTCTCCATTGAGACTAGATAGATTATTATATGGGTTATTCTATCCTTGGTTATGTGAGCAGTATAGCCACTATAGAGTTTAAAATCTTTTTCAAAATGATTTTTTTTCAAAATTCAAAATTTGTAGAATTGTTTTCTTGTCCTCAACTAACATTGGCGTCCAAGTGGAGGAATGTTAAAATTTGAACTTACTTTAATTGTTTATAGCCTGAAAGGATGGTGATGTGGTCCAATTGGTGAATTAAATAAAAGGACTAATTTAATGTGTGTGTGGATAAGGAAGGCCCAATAACTTTTGGACTGTAATAGGTAGACACTCTCTATAAATAGAGGCCAACCCTCATTCCCTAACTATTAGAAAATCCTAGCATATTTTATTCTTGAATACGTGGTGTACCGGCTGATGTCCCATCAGTCGAGTTCTCCGAACTATGAGAGCGTGATATTCAGCGGATCATGGAAGTTGATCTCATGCTTAACCACCATTTGTCGTTGCTGTTGAATCGATAAAATTGAACAATATGTGTATCTGACCCTAACTCAAGATTATGCTTCTATACATATATTGTTGTGTCTTAATATCTGCTATGATATCACATAATTAATCTTACATTATTATCAACACTATTCTTATCTTTGTTGTTGTTGAGAAGAAGAAGAAGAAAAATGAGAAGGAGGAAGAGGTACTATTAATATCATTATTCTTGTCTTTATTTTATGAAGAATGAGAAGAAGGAGAAGGAGGACTAGAACGAGGATGATGAGGAAGAAGGACGAGGAGAAGAAGAATAAAAATGCAAACAAATAATATGAAGTCTGTCAATCTCACTAATACATTATAAAAATTGATTATGATTTTAATAGCGCTAATCTCAAAGTACGCGCGTTGTGCGTGTACCTTATGCCGATGAGTATAATTTTAAACAAGTATTATTTATCAATGTGTTTGAGTTAGTAAATATAAACTAAAAATAATAAAAGTTTCTGAAACTGATACATATCGATTCTAACAAGGTGGCTAGCCATTTGAGCTAGTATAACTATAGTAATTATAGTTATAAAATATAGGCAAAAAATAAACTAATAAGATCTTTAACTGACATGAGTTAGAACACCTTGCAAAAAAGAAATTTAGATATCGTATCGTATATATTTACAAAGCAAAAGACTTAGAGTATGAGAACCTAAATATCCTTAAATATTAAAGAAGTGTCGTCTAATATTACCGACTTTAATAACAGTTAGTTCTCATTATTCTTTGTGGACTTTGCCGTTAAATTTTAGATTGTTTTTATTTTTTGCAAATAATTACATAATTCAAATTAAAAAAAGTTCTGCACAAGATATTTAATATGAGAATCTTTTATATATTCAGATAATGAAGAATTTACTGCAAAAAATTTAGTTGGTTTTAACTCCTAAATATTAAAAAAAAGGTTAAGCACAAGCAATCATATTCAAAAGAAAATAAAATAAGTAGATCTAAGTTGTAATCCCCAGTTTTGTGAAATAAAGTATTGGAAGGAAAATAGGAAATACTAATAGTTTAAAAGATCTAAGAAATTTAAAACACCATTTTCTGAACTGAAGGATCAAAAAAATCTTTTAACTAAAGTGACAGACTCATAATTTACCTTGTCCTAACTCCTAATTCCTAAGTCTGAGTTTATGATAATGGATCACTTAAAAAATTAGTTGTGATATCTAATTATAGAACACAATCGTTCTAACTCAAACAAAACAACAAAAACAAACGCACAAATAGCAATATTCTCAAAATTTAGAATTGTATGTAAATTAAGACTCATTAATTTAAAAGGTAAATGATTTATAGAAAGTAAATCGTATTTGAACTTAAAGTCTTAAATATTAGGACTTCTTATATTGTTAAAATAAGGGAAGATTTATTAAATGAAGTTATAGTTTATTTTAAATTTCTAAATATTAGTTAAATGATTGTTTTGTCTAATATAAATTATACTTTCAAAGGCTAAAAAAGATGAATGACATTTCGCTAAGGACTTTTGTGTTTTTAATATAGTACAGATATAGATATCTAAAAGCGGCGACATGTGCAAATAATTGTTTATTCTCTTACAAAAAGAAAACTTAGGTGGTGTTTGGACTAGAAAATAATTTTGTTTTGCTTTGTTTCTATTTTGGGTTAAATTTTTATTTTTTGTGAATGTACATTGAAAGATTTTTTTCTATAATTATTGAGAAAGAATTAGTTTGTATTTTGATTGTTCTCTTTTTAAAAAGCTAGACAAATATAAAATAAAAACTATAATGTGTTTAGAGAACAGAAGCTAAAACAAAAAATAGAAATGGAACGCACTACAAGACAAAGCGTGTTTAAAAAACAATATAAATATAGTACAATATTTTATTATGTTATTAGTACAATATTTGGCACGAAATTTAAGAATTTTTTAAATTTATAATTTAAAATAAATTATAAATATTTATGTGATTAGAAATTATTATTTAATAAAGTAGATAGTTTAAAGTTTAAATATTTCTAAATAAAATAGAAATTCAGAGAAAGGGATTAATTAATTATTAACAACAAAAAGCTAAAAAGGAAGATCAATCTCTGTCACTCTCAGTACATGCGATCCAAGAAGAAAGCAGAGCATAAAGACTCGACTCTTGTCGTCTTCTTCCACTTTATTTATCCCCAGATCCATCACTCCTTTATTTCCCCCACTTTGTTCATTTTCAAAATTACCTCTTAAAAACTCCCAAAAAAAAAAAAAAAAGAAAAAAGAAAAAGTGACCAATGTGCCCCCACTACTTTTTCTCAATCATTTTGGGATCTTCATGGTTAATTGTGTCAATTCACCTGAGATTTTGATGGTGAATTGTTCATGGGAAAATGGGTTGCTGATGGAATGGCAAAAGAGTGTTTCTGTGTTACTGAAGCTTTTGGATTATTGAAGAGAAAAAAGGAACAGTTTTTGTTGTTTTTAAATTGTTGTGTGGAAGTGGATATATGGGGAGTTCACAGCAGCCAACTAGCTTTGGGGACCCTCAAGAAATTTCCTCTGATAATGTTAAAGGCCTGTGCTTGGCTATCTCTTCTAGTTTGTTTATTGGCTCCAGCTTTATCATCAAGAAAAAGGGTCTTCAAAAGGCTGGTGCTTCTGGGGTCAGGGCAGGTATTTTTTTTATTTCAGTTCCCCTTTTGTTTAAAATTACTATCTTGGTATATGGTTTTGGTGACTTGAGTTAGAAGTTTTGTAGTTTTTGGTCCAATGCATTAGAAATGTCTGAAATTGAACTTTTTTTTAATTAAAATTTTAGTTGTTTGATGGAATTAAAATGTCCATGGCGGGTCTGAGGAAGGGTACGGATAGGCCTAAGAAGTATTGGGGAGAGGTTATTAGGGCTTCAGCTTAGCGAGGATATGACCCACGATAGGAAGGTGGGAAGGTCGAAAATTAGGGTTGAAGGTTGACTGGTAGTAGTGTGTTTCTCCTGGGCTTACTAGTAGTACTAGGACTATTTTTGCATTTTCCTATTCATGGTTCGGTATTATTACATGCTGTGTCATTCGCGTTTGTTACCATCTTACATTGCTGTTACTATTATTTGATGCTTGGTTGTTTTATTTTCACTGTTCCTTGAGCCGAGGGTCTATCGGAAATAGCCTCTCTATCTTTACACGGTAGGGATATGGTCTGCGTACACACTACCCTCCCCAAACCCCATTTATGAGATTACACTGAGTTTATTATTGTAGATGGAATTAAAATATTGGAAATTTGTTTGTTTTATGAACGAAGTTGGAATTCAGATTCTTTCTGAATTGGTTGAAGTCAACACATTTTAACAACAACTATCTATCATGCCTCACTCCCAAACAAGTTGGAATTATATATATATATATATATATATACGCGGTGGTGCCTGAACTAGCTTGCATAGAACCTCGACTATTCCACCGGGTACCTACTATTACTCACCATCACAAGTATCGGGTAATTCTTCCTACTAAGTTTTTGGTAGATGGGAATCACCTAGTGTTTTATTGTAAACACTGGGATTTGAATCTGGGATCTCATGGTTCTAGTCCACACCTTTGGATGCAAGTTGGGATGTGCTATGTGAATCCTCGTGATGTATTTCCTACTGACATAAGAATCTCTAATAGGGTTAAAGCACTCATATAAAGCATAAGACCTAAAGTAAGCGTATTAACATGCCTTTAACCCTCGGGGATTTCTGGGTTTTCAGAAAAAAATGTAACATGTCCATATTACAACTTTAAGTTCTGCCTCTCAAAGATGCTTCTTTATTTCCTACATCTTTAGTAGTCTCAGACATATCACATATCCTTGACCATGTGCCTGTTCTTGACATGGGGGCTCTGATGCTCAAGATCCAGTGTTACATGAGCTATTTGTTGGATAGGATGTGTAAGGCTGCATGCTTTCCTATGCATTAAGCATATAATGACTAAGACTTCTCCGTTGTATTTCATTTTGTATGTTGCTTTATTGTTCCTTTTAATAAGTCGGTTCACAATACAACTGTGATTTATGAGGGTGATGCTGTTTTGGCATTAACTTCATTTTTCGTCTGATGTTTCGTATTTTTTCAAACAGTGCATGCCGTAGAATTGTCAGTCAGATTGGTCCTGTATATTTCATCCTTTTTCATCTGCAACTTTTCACAAGGAAAAGATTTCTTCTATAAGAAGAAAAATGCATAAGGGGAGCCTTGGAGCAACGGTAAAGTTGTCTCCGTGTGACCTATAGGTCATGGGTTCGAGCCGTGGAAGTAGCCACTAATGCCTGCATTAGGGTAGACTGTCTACATCACACCTTGGGGTGCGGCCCTTCCACGGACTCTGCGTAAACGCGGGATGCTTTATGTACTGAGCTGTCCTTTTATAAGGAAAAAATGCACTGTTGGTGGTGCCCGGATTTCAAGTGTTTCATGAAACCATTGGATAAGAAATGGGTTGCCTCTTTAACAACCTTATTCAGCTCAGGTCTTGGATTAAAAAGGTCGAGCTTTATCATAATTTTGAATAACCAAGTCTTCTCAAAAAAAAAAAAAAAAATTGAATAACAAAGTTAGCTTCTAAAAGTTATTCAACTTTACATACCTAGTGGAAATGTACCTTTACTTAATTTTCACATGCTATGGCAGGCGCTGGAGGCTATTCTTACTTGCTGGAGCCACTGTGGTGGGCAGGAATGATAACAAGTTAGTTACCCTATTCAATGCTTCTGATATATGAGGATTGTGCTGAATTTTTTTTTCCTCCAGTCCAAACTAATGCCTTTAGTGACTTGGCATGACCATTGAGACGAAAATTGCAATGTACATCATTTAAATTTATGTAAAAAGTGATCTTTTTTTTTTGTTGAGAAAGGTAAGACTGTATAAACAGAAGCACAAAGTTCGTGCCAAAATACATGCAAATCAGTTACTTTATATCACTGCAAGAAGCTGAGGAAATCTAACATCCTATATGCTGTACTAACATCTTCTGGTCTACACCAAAAAGCCAGAAAGGAGTGAATGTTATATAAGCTGATTTTCTTCATAACTAATTTTATTGAAGGGGGAAGGATAGACCTTGTATTCTAGATTCGGGATGAGTAAAAGAGGAGTTGAGAAATTTAAAGGAAAGAAAGAAAGAATCAACTATTAAAGATAGCACCGTGTGAATTGCGTGTTATTTTGCTTGTTTTGTTTCATTTGGTGTGAGAGCGTAGAAGGGCTTTCAGGAGGTGACAGCTCACTTAGGGATATCAATATATCCTAAAGTTGTCCCTCTGGCTATTCAAGCCACATTATATTTGTTCTTTTTCTTAATTTTCTGACAAATATTGATGCTGAATGCAAGGATATTTACTTCAGTTCTTCACATCTGCTCTACTTTGGTGAGTAATGTGGTCTTTTACTTGTTCAAAAGCCTCAATAGCAAAAGATTTTTCATTTACTGAAAGTCCTACCAATAAGCTTGAGAAATAGTTATATCACCTCAAGGCTTTTGCCTCCTCCTTCGCAAAAAAGGAGAATTTTTGTTAAGGGGCTTCTATGTTTGCAGTTTTATTTTAACTTGAAGTATTTTAACCATTTCCATGTTCTCCTACCTTTCAATTTGAAGGAAAAACAAAAATAAAAAAAAAACAGCAGACAAAGATGGGTTAATATGAGTGCGTTGTTTCTGTGGCAGTGATTGTTGGAGAAATTGCTAACTTTGCAGCTTATGCATTTGCACCTGCTGTCCTAGTCACTCCTCTTGGTGCTCTCAGTATTATTATCAGGCAAGAGAAGGCTGGAAATAATTGTTCAACTTTCTGCCTGTTACATACGAGGCGACATATATTTATTTATTTGTTTATTTATCTGTCTATTTGTGTAGTGCTGCACTTGCACATATGATATTGGGAGAAAAATTACATATTTTTGGAATGGTTGGTTGTGTTCTATGCATTGTGGGCTCAACAACCATTTGTTTACATGCTCCTCAAGAACGTCAAATTGAGTCTGTAAAGGAACTTTGGGACCTTGCCACGGAACCTGGTACGCATTTGAATGCTAACAAAGCTGACTTCTTCTTGACATATTGTGAGCATGGAAGTTTTGATTGCTTAGCTTCTTACTGACAATAATTTGGTAATCTTTTACTCATGACAGCGTTCCTCCTATATGCAACTTTGGTTATAGTGGCAGTTGTCATAATCATTGTCCAGTATATTCCAAAATATGGACAAACTCATATAATTGCTTACATTGGAGTTTGCTCACTTGTTGGTTCTATTGGGGTAGGCACTCAGCTATCTGGTTGGAGTTTGGCATTCCTTTTTCCCTTTCTCATACGGGTTCTCCTTTTCCTTTTATTAAGCTTGTCATTAATGCATCATTGCTATATCCATGTGCGATCTAATTTTTTTAATTTTTTTTGGTCAAAAAATCATAAATGATTTGGCAGGTTATGAGTGTCCGAGCACTAGGAATAGCATTAAAATTAACATTCTCTGGAATGAACCAGATGCTGTATCCTCAAACATGGGTCTTTGCAGTAGTCATGGCAACATGTGTGTTTACACAAATGAACTACCTAAACAAGGTAATTAGAATGTATTTCTCAGTTCTTTTTTACCAGTTGATGTGTTTGTTACTTTTTGGGTGGAGATATTCATCATTTGTGTGGAAGTTCTGAACATTAACTTGGTAGATACTTATGCTCTTGGACTCTTAGGTTAGGTGTCAGCCTATATCTTGTTGCTATTTGACTTGCAGTAATTACAATGAATTAACTCAGTTAGGATCTTATTCAAAAAATAGCTTTAAGTTACTAATTCAGAAGTCTAGGCTCTCTTTTCATAGACCTCAGTGTGGATCCATAGAGCACCAAGAAAGGCTGCTTCTTAATTTGGCTAGAAGCCAAAGGGACCATCCTTACAGCTGAGAAAAGGAGGAAAAAGAGGATAACAGATGTAAGCTGGTGTTAAATGTGCAAGCACTCTTGGGAAGATGTGGACCACTTACTTTTATCCTGCCAGCTAGTTAGGCTTGATGCTTTATTGTCGTCGTTACACTTACATTGGTTGTTATTAGTCTTTTTACTTTGGTAACAGAGTTGCATATTACTAGGGGATAGTTAGAGATTTTGGGAACATCTAGTTTTAAAGGATCTCTAGTTTGCCTTATTTACTGATATAGTAATGAAATTAGCCTGAATAGAGCCAAATGGATAGAAGCATTCACATGGTCGGCCCCGACTAGAGTCTCATTAGACCTAGTTGATTGATTTGTATGTTGAACTTCTGTCCCTCCCTGACTGACTACATAAGAATAGACATTTATGTTTGCAGAGCCTAAGTTGGCCCTTTATTACATGAAGGACATTTTGTAACTACAATGATTTTTCTCTATTTGCATATCCTTGTCTTTTCCTGGTGTTTTTTCTCAATTTTTGGGATAATAAGTGTTTCTCTCTATTTTTACACCAGATTTTCCCCATATTTTAAATGCAGGCTCTTGATACATTTAACACAGCGCTTGTATCACCAATATACTATGTGATGTTTACATCACTGACAATAGTCGCCAGTGTCATCATGTTCAAGGTGCAACTACTTTCTTTACCAAGGCTGTAAGCATTAACTTATATATCACAGACTGTCTTCCTTAAAACTTGTTCTACTTGACTTGTTTAAGGTGATTCAAGGTGGCAGAAGCTTGAAAAGGGTTACTCCTCTTTTAGTGGGTGAAAATTTTCTTTAGTATTGTCCCCAGGGCTTTGGTCTAGTGGTAAGAGCGCTGCAGGTGATGTCAGTTAGGTGCACATGTGGGAGCAAACCCTACCGCATACAAAAGCCTTGTATTTAAGTAGAGGAGGGGGTTGGACATTATCCGATGAGTTTTGAACCGTATGCCACAGGCCCTCAGGGTTTTTTCGGTTATCAAAAACATTTCTTTAGTATCTTTGCTAATGACTTTTTCCTGTCCACATGCTCCTATCTTTTTCATCTTGCATATGGACTAGTTTTCATCTTACATAAACATAAATCTATTTGCTCCCCATTAATCAATATTCTCTAATTTGAATCATTTTTTCCCCAATTCACTTGGATGATTGAGAATCGTTTTTAAAATTCTGGAGGACTTTCCCATAAATTACGTTTTTTTTTAAAACTGCCTTATAGTTTGGTACGTAACAATTTTATACCGTTATATATATTTATGTTTCTTGGAGAAGTTGCATCTCCATAGTGAAAGGTATTAGTCAAATAAATTCAGTTTGTGTTTGTAAGACATCCTCTATCATCAACCAACTTAACTGATGCTAAAGGGTCTTTCATGCTTTTGGAACAGGACTGGAGTGGGCAAACTGCAATTCAAATCATCACGGAACTCTGTGCGTTTGTGACCATTTTGTCAGGCACCTTTCTTCTTCACAAAACCAAAGACTTGGTTGATGGTATCATCGATCTCAGATTACTATTATGTTTGGGGCTTTTAGTTTAGATTTTGTTGATAACTATTCTTCTTCTGTTCACAGTTTCTTCACCATCTGTGTGCATGCGATATCCTAAGCATGATGAAGAAGAATCAGATGAAGAAGGCAGCATTCCTCTGAAGCATCGAGAAAGCATGCGATAGCTAACATTTTTGTTGGGAAAAATGGCAACTATTGACCCTTTAGGTAATGGAATAGTAGGCGCTATATTAGTTTGTACATATAACTAGTCCAGGACAAAGTGCAAGTGGGAGTCCAATTAATTACCAGTGTATCATTCTTGTCATTGGTGTTGGAACTCATGACATTGAAGAAATTTTATCTAAGCAGTGAGTGATATATTCATGGTATATATATTCAGAATGTTCACACTTGACAAACTTGGAATGGCAAATTTTATAATCAATTTTAGCCTTCTCACGGCAGTGTTCTTTGGTTTTTTATTTACTTGATGTTACCGACGTTAAGAGCATAACGGAATATCTATTAAGTACATTTAATTGTTATTTTAGACTCTCTGCAGAACCAAATGGAAGTAACTGTGGTTAAGTATAACAATTGTAGTTAAATAAAAAGATATAGTGTTATTTATTCATTAGCTTGGTGTAAACACTGTGGGTGTAAGTTTTGACCATCATAGAATATTATTTTAATGGAACTTTTAAGGTTACATTATATAACAATAGTAATACAAGGAGAATTTTTGTCTAGAATGAGATAACAATCCTCCTTAATGTGATAATTTGTAGCAACATTAATTTTTATAATTTATTTTAGAGCACAAATTTTTAATAGTCTTTTTTTAAATATTCTTAAGTTACATGTTTAGTCCGATACAATCACATAAATTTGTATGGAGAAAGTACGACTTAAGTGATTTATGATGTTGATTTACAAAAGGAAGTACATGAAGAAAGGGGGGAAAAGAAGCAATAAGACTGAAATTTTTTATTTTGTGCCTCACACAACTGACGCTAGTTGTGTGAGGTCTTTTTTTTTTTGTCTCACAACCCTGTGGTCCCAGAATTTTGTGGACCCAATGTGTAAGATATGGGTCCACAAATATGTGTAATAAAAAGATGCTTCACACAATTAATGTCAGTTGTGTGAGGCACACAATAAAATCAATCGAAGTGAGAGATCATAAAACCAAAAAAACAGAAACATTTTGATTCATAATCATAAGTCTTTCATTGTAGTTAAAAACACATGTCTTTGAAGTTAGAAGTGGAAAAGAGTATTTGAATGTTGAAATTGTGTTTATATGCATGAGTTTTATATAGATAAAAAAGATAGAGTTACATGAGTAAAATCATTGTTTCACTTGAAAATATTTGTCAGACCATTTTTTCAACTTTAAATTTTTTATTTCAAGTTAAAGCTAAAATAATGGACTAAATTGTAAAACACAATAATTGCAAATAATATGTTTGTTCAACCGCCGATTAAATAATTTATCTGTTTAACAATTTATTAGTGTAGTTGTACTGGAGAAATATGATAGTAGTAGTTGGTATTCCCCTTGTTTAGAAACGAATCGAATTTGATATATTTTTCTAAAATGGCATTTTATTCACTTCTAGATATTCCATTAAATTATGTTACAAACAATCAAATTATAGTAGCGAGGTGAGTTGTAAAGCTCCAAAAACGTTTTAGAACTTTTCACAAATTAATTATTTCAAAAATTCACAAACTTAACTGTTCCACTTCTTGTGCTTTGAATCGGGTAAGTTCCACAAAATTCGTGCCAAGTTATATGTTCTATCTTATTAGGATTAAAGAAATATTTTGAGCACAAGTTATATATTTTGTGCTATGAAGATTTTTTACCTGAAAAACCCCGAATAATCCGAGAAAATCCGAGGAAAATCGAGATTGAAAAATTCGAGTTTTATTGGTTTGGTTTGGTCTTTAGATTTAATAACCTATCATAATTGGTTTGGTTTGGTAATTGTAAAATCCGTACCAACCCGACCTATGTACACCCCTAGTTACAGATAAGGTTATTGGCTTTAAATTTCTTTACATATAAGGCAAAAACTAATTAAATCAATTGAAAGAAATTCCACCAGGAAAAAAGAAAAAAAAGGTAAAATTCTTCAAAATTGGAAATTTGATCCCATGAATTATTACCCGACAAATCCGGCAGTAATGCTTCAAATACGTTTGACCATCTTATCGAGTTAGTCATATGATTGGTTGTCAATAAAAACTTCCTTTTTTCGGGGCTTTTGAATCTTTACCCGGTTTTGGCGTCCCAATTGAAGGTAAAAATCACACGGGGTGCCTTATTTGGTTGCCCCGTTTAACCTATACCTACTTTTTAAATTTTTTTTAACTTGTACCCACTTTTTAAGTAACTTCGGGCCTCTTTCTCCTCCTCCTTCTCCTCCATCGATTTCTTCTTCTTCGGGTGACAATGATTTTATATGGTGGTTATGAACATATTTAATATAGTTTATGATGTTTTACAATGGTGAGTTGTTATGATGCTTTATTTTTTACGATTGCTTAAGGTTTCTTCTTCTTCTTCTTCTTTTTTAATTGCAAAATGAGTTCATTAGATTTGTTGTTGTTTTGACAAATTGATGATTGTGTTTGTTCCTGATGATATTTGGAGGTTATGTTTCAAATTTGAGCTCATTTGGAGTAGATTTATGTATTAAATCGTATATTGGATTGTTACAATTCAAAAAAAACAAATTTCTGTTTCTAGGCAATTTGCACTTCAAGCTTATTTGGCCTTAAGCGCATAAAAACGTTGGTTGCACTTCAGAAATTTTGGCCTTAAGTGCATCTGAAGTGAAATTTTTCATTTCAGACTTATTGGCCTTAGGTGTAGCAAAACGTTTGTTGCACTTCAGACCTTTTGGCCTTAAGTGCATCTGAAGTGCAATTTTTCACTTCAATATTGCCCTTAAGTGTAGCAAAACGTTTGTTACATTTTAGACCTTTTGGCCTTAAGTGCATCCGAAGTGCAATTTTTCACTTCAGACTTATTGGCCTTAAGTGTAGCAAACGTTTGTTGCACTTCAGACCTTTAGGCCTTAAGTCCTTCAGACTCATTGGCCTTAAGTGCATGAAACCATTAGTTACACTTCAGACCTATTTGGCCTTAAGTGCATCTGAAGTACAGATTTTCACTTCAGACTTATTGGTTGTAAGTGAATGAAAACGTTTGTTGCACTTCAGACTTTTTGGCCTTAAGTGCATCTGAAGTGCAATTTTTCACTTCAAACTTATTAGCTTAAGTGCATCTGAAGTGCAATTTTTCACTTCAGACTTATTATAAGTGCATGCAACCATTGGTTGCACTTCATACCTATTTGGCGTTAAGTGCATTTGAAGTGCAATTTTTTCACTTCAGACTAATTTTTTTTAAACTTCAGATCCGATAAGTTTGAAGTTGATCGTAAAGTGGATACGCTCGCAAATCTTTTTGCAAAGTGGGTATAGGTTCAATTGTGACCCAAAATCGGGTATAGATGCAAAATCCCCCAATTGAAGTTATACTCACTTTGCAAAAAATAATTACAAGCCTATCCACGTTATGATCAGCTTCAGACTTATCGGGTCTGAAGTTAAAAAAAAAATCAGTTTGAAGTATAATGTACTTAACTAAGGCCAATTATGTAAAGTGCAAAAATTACACTTAAGATGCACTTAAGGCCAAATAGGTCTGAAGTGCGAAAAATATTTTCATGCGGAGGTCTGAGGTCAAAAAATTGCACTTCAGATGAACTTAAGGCCAAATAGGTCTGAAGTGCAATCAATGGTTTCATGCACTTAATGCCAAAAAGTCTGAAGTGAAAAAATTGCACTTCAGATGCATTTAAGGCCAAATAGGTCTGAAGTGCAACCAATGGTTTCCTGCACTTCAGGCCAAAAGTCTGAAGTGAAAAAATTGCACTTTAGATGCACTTAAGGTCAAACAGGTATGTAGTTCAACCAATGGTTTCATACACTTAAAGCTAAAAAGTCTGAAGTGAAAAAATTACACTTCAAATGCACTTAATGGTAAATAGGTCTGAAGGGCAACCAACGGTTTCATACGCTTAAGGCCAATAGGCCTGAAGTCCAAATTCTCCAGAAACAGAAATTTGTTCTTCGAATTTTAACAATCTAATCTCCGGTTTAACACCTAAATCTACTCCAAATGAGATCAAATTTGAAACATAACCTCCAAAGATCATCAAGAACAAACTCCAATCATCAATTTGTCAAAACAACAATAAATCCAACAAACTCATTTTGCAATTATGAAAAAAGAAGAACAAACCCTAAGCAATAGTAAAAAAAATAAAGTGTTGCATCATAAACTACCTTAAAATATGTTCAAATACACCATATAAAATTACTGTCACCCGAAGAAAGAAGAAGAAGAAAAAGAACAAAGAGGAGAAAAAAGCCTGAAGTTTATATTCTAGGTACTAGTTAAAAACAAATTAAAAGTGGATATAACTTAAATGATGGTGACCAAATAGAACACCCCGTGCAATTTTTACCTTTTTTTCTCTCTCTTTTCTGACAAGGGTTGCCTATAATAAGTAACTGAATATTTTATTTTTTTTGGTCATAAACTGAAATATGAATTACTATAAGTTTTTGAGATTTGATCGGTTAGATAAAGCTTTCATATACTTTTTGTCTGTATAGGTTTTAGTTAGTTTTCTATATCCAGATTTAAGTCATACTCTTGGTGTTATTTTGTGTAAATAGTTCTTCTCTGTCTCTCTGGTTATTATATCTTCTCTTACCTTGTTGTTACACTGTATTTGTAAAATAAATTCTGGAAATATAAATGAATATAAACAGTAATGAATGTAAACAGAAATGACATAAACCAATTCGAGCCCACTGAATTCACAGTGTTTCCTTAAGGAATTTAATCCCCTCCTAGTACCCAAGGTTATGGATTATTTCCTCCCAGGATAGAACGAATTACACACTGGTGTAGTGGTACTTCAAACCCCAGTGTTTCAGCGAACACAAAGTTCGGTAGCAAATCACACTTACTTTTTGCTTTGTTTTGATGCTAAAAGTATGCAGAAGAAGGAGAGGAAACTCAGAAAATTGTAGTTAAAATTCTGAGCAGAATAGTGTTGTATTTATAGCCAAAGTTGGGTCTCTTCAGAATGGCTGTTTATGCAAAACGCCCACAACATAAATGCCATTACATAAATGACCATTTACTCAATAATAAAGAGGGAAAATAAAGAGGAAAAATTGAAGAGGGAAAATTGGATTTAATATTAATATTTTGTTATTAAAACAAATATTTAATAACATTTCTGTTAATATTTTACTATTAACAAATAAATTTGGTCCAAAAAGTTAATCAATCAATCGATCATTTGACCAAATCCGTATCCGTATCCGTAGCCGTAGCCGTAGCCGTAGCCGTAGCCGTAGCCGAAGCCGA